AGGTTTCACATCTATTTGTATAGGATGGGTAGCAGCTAGAGCACGTACATATAAATATACGTGCTCTGGTAGTTAGCAACCAAATCCACCGCTATCGCCTACATTCGCCAGCTATAAGTTATCGGGATGAGTTTGGGGTTGACAATCACGTCACAGTTGCGGCAGTATAGCATGTCAGTGCGAATTCCCTCGACTTGTCAATCAGTGTTGAGAAAACTTTTCATTCGACGAAGCTATTGATGATACGAGTGATGATGCCATTTTATACGATGATCAAGTCACGGGGCACACGCCCACGTCTAGAGCGCGACACTAGCGCCGACCAACGGCAAGAGAACAAAGGTTATGCGTGAGTGGTCGCGTGAATGTTTTAATAAACAAAACAAATGTGAGGACCTGTAAAGATATCATAACAAGATAGTATATTGCAATCGTAATGGTTGTTTCTAATTTTCTCATATTTTTATTAGGTTGCTGTTATATGCACTGTTTGCACCGGCCCCTGACAAATCAAGTACCTACTTGTGCTAGCAAAGACAAATAAACACCCTATTGTTGGATTCCTATAGCTTTATCACATCAGTTATTAAAATATTATTACAACAATTATAAAATTTCGATAATATTAAAATATTAAATTATTACATTATTAAATGCAGGCTTGCAACTGTAGTACGTACACATCATCTATATCAAACGAAATATCAGTTTACACGAGTAAAATCACAGGTGAGTAAAACAAAAGACGATAAGTGCGAAAAAATCTGGTTTTTTTCAATCGTTAGTTCTGCATTAATCTACAATAATATCACTACTCTTCTAGTTTTACAATAGTTACGCGAGTGAAAAAACTAGTAAGTGGATGATACCGCAGAGCAGAAAACAAGATGGCTGACGTCGTCGTCAAGACATGACGCGTACTAACAATTATTTAGTGTAGCGTTTGTCTGTTGTACGATGTTAATAAATGTGCTAATAAATAAGATCTAGTAACTTTTCTAGAGAGATATAGGTACCGGACGCTACAATTACAGGTGGGTCTATAACATGCAAAAAATGCATGATTGTAGTGGTAGATATTTTAAGCATTTTTTCCTGCATACCTACATATTCGAATTACCTGAATTAATCGATACGATACTTAAAATTCTGTAATAGCAGATTTTCTTCACTTCAGCGATGCCAGTCGACAACTCCTGCTCGGGTTCGTTCGACAATCTTTGTTCGATTTCGGTCATTATGACTTCCTTCTTGTTCTCCCTCGCGCAGACCACGAAGGGGAAGTCGAACTTGTGTTTGTACGCATCGTTGGCGGTGCGCAGGCGTTGTCGCTCTGTGGACGTGAGAGTCAGCAGTCCCGCACTTTGCTGTTCGTGCATAGATTCATCCGTCACCTCTCCTGCCTCGGCCAGCGATCCCGCCAGATCAGGATGGCATCGCAGCACTCCCCTCTTATCTGAGAAATAAATTGTTGAGAAATCTAGAATTACTAAAGCACCTCGTTATAACAATTGTAAGATTTAATACGTGAAAATTTATCTGCCTGCTCGACTACTGAATCTGGAATTACTACTACATTTGCTACCAAAAAGACAGCGTCCGCTTAACGGCGAAAGTGTAACTTCTATTCGATGTTGTTAACCGACATTGGCATGCCTACAGTCTTCTGCGAGGAACATTCTTCATGTCGTATTAACGTTAAGACAACATTGGCATTCATTTCTACATTGAAACAACGTTAATATTCCCACGTTGATTTAATCTTCAAATAAAATCCTTTTCCGCGTTATTTTAACGTCGATTTCCGGCCGTCGTTTCAACGTTATTTCAGAGACAATAGAACACTAATAGAATCTGTTCTATGGTCTCTGGTTATTTGTTTTAACCGCATTTTGCCCGCTGGGATGTCTCCATTAGAGTTAGGTAGTTAGGTTCAGCTGTAAGCACGTGTGTATGTTTAGCGGGAATATATGTTGAGCACGTAATTGCTAACCTGGCTGAGTATAGTTCTCGTTCCGGGTTTCTCGAGATTAAAATGCGTCCCGTATGGCAGAGGAAATTCACTCATTTCCGGCGGACAGTAGACACATAGCTTCAATTGTGGTGTTGCTAAAACCCGGTGCATCTACGAGCGGCCTTTAACGTATCTTACTATAATTTGGCGAATGTTGTATGTATGTATGTATGTATGTATGTATGTATGTATGTTAATGAAAGGCTCCGTCAGTTTAGATTCAAATAGCGCCAAATTCACAGAAGAGATCGATGAGTACACGGGACGGGTTCTAAACTATACTCGGTTGAAAACCGTTTGTTCGGTCTTAAAAAAGACAAAAAAAACCTAAAAAGCTAAAGATTTGCCTGAAAATAGGGGGCGCTGTTTTGTTTTGGCTTTGTTCTGTGTATGTTTGTTCCCTGTGTGTGTGTCTGAGATTTTTGTAAGCCCAATAATGTAAGTAGAACGAACCATGTAATAATCAAGTTAAATATTCAGTAGCTATTTCGGCATAGTTTCCCATATGAGATGTACAAGTTGAATTTCATCAGCGCAGAATTTTTTTTTGGAAGTCTGCAATGCTGTACAGTGACAGTGTACGGGTGTCTTGAACAGCGAGCTGTCACAAGCGGTCCGATCACAAGCACGTAATATTACGTCGTCCGCACAGAGAAAACATGCAAACATGCAAACATGCA